ATATATTATAGCTTTACACATAACCCCCCCCCCCAGCCTTACCCCCATTTCACTTTCTAAGGTCTTACAGTAATCAATTAAAAAACTATATTGGGGCAAAGTAAGAGCTAAATAGACACTTTTGCATCTAAGAATTTTTTTTATATTGGCCTGTCATTTTAGGGTGCCTTCCCTGCTCAAATAAACAGAAATGAACATCCCACCACACAATCCGACTCCATTTCCCTCCTCATTTTTGACCAGGGAAGTGACTTTAATTTTTGGATTTGGTATTTAGTTCTTAGTTTTGCTCTTAGTCTTTCTAGGAAAAAAAATCTGATATTGTTGTAACTGTTTAATTTATTACTGTTTCAAAATGTAAGGACTGGTGGGGAGAATGCAAATTACTTCCCAACTAGATAAAGGTTTCTCTTACATTATTCAGGAATAGACACAGTACAAATGCAAAAAGAAGTCTTGTGTGAGTAATTTTTGAAAATTCGTGATTACAGGAATTTATGTATTCCATGTATATGTAATGTATCTACATAAATATAAATATATATACATTAAACATGCTCTCTCTTTTTTAAAGCCTCAGTTTTAATGATGCATAATATGCATGTGTTAGTCCTAGCATTGCCTAGTAAGCCACAGAAAGGTCAGGTCACAACCTGTGCTCTCTTAGCAAAGAAGCCTCTTACTTAAAGGAAATTTATTGTGTTTTCTCCTATTAGAAGGGGAAAAGTGGTCAGTTGATATTGGGTGGGGGTGTTTATTGTAAGGGTATGAGTTTGGGGGTTTTTTGAGAGAGAGAGAGAGAGAGAGAGAGAGAGAGAGAGAGAGAAGAAAAGAGGGGGGAGAAAGAAACAGCTCAAATGAACAGAGAGATCACAGTTTGCATGGCTGCCCCTGAATAGACTAAACTGACAAGATCAGTTTTAAAGGGCCACTTAAATCACTTTCAAAGACTGGAGAAAAACGAGTTGTCTTCTTTGGGGGAGAATCTGTTGCTGAGTCCTGGGCGCCATTACTTTTTACTGGGCCAGGTTGTCGGCTCCCCTCACTCCCTCCTCTCGACCCACCCCTCCCTAGCCCTTAACTAACTATATGATTATAAGCTAAACAATTATTTTCTAGCAAAGGTGGCAAGGCAGCTAGTGGACAGTGGGGTGTTTGGAACCCCTTTCACCCCCAGATTCACCAAGGGTACTTTTCAGTGCCCCTTTGTGGTGATCTAGTAGCCTCAAAACCCTGGGTCTGGGGACAGTGAAACCCTTAATTTCATTTGACCTTAAAATCCACCAGAACCACCATTCAATTCTCTTTCTCAATCCTCTTCCTCTCTCCCCTCAATTTTTTTTTTTTTTTAGTAATGCTATATTTTGGTCTAACATCTAACTTGAAGGATGCTCGACCACTCTACACACACTTCATGTGACCCATTTCAAACCTCTCCATCTGATAACTGTATTCTTTTTTTACTTTCTTTTAGATGCCTGTGGTCTCTCTGATGTAGCCCATGTGGAAAGCCTGCAGGAAAAGTCACAGTGTGCTTTGGAAGAGTATGTTAGGAGCCAGTACCCCAACCAGCCAACACGATTTGGAAAGCTCTTGCTTCGCCTTCCTTCCCTTCGCACTGTCTCCTCTTCTGTCATAGAGCAATTGTTTTTCGTCCGTTTGGTAGGTAAAACCCCCATAGAAACCCTAATCAGGGATATGTTACTATCTGGCAGCAGTTTTAACTGGCCTTACATGGCAATTCAATAAAAAAAAAAAAAAAAGAAGGGGAATGAAACAGAGAGAAAGAAAAGGCAAAAGACTGATTTGTTTGCTTAAATTTCTTCTGTTAAGAAAGGATATAAAAGGATGTTACAAGTTTGCTAAAAGAAGAGAGGGAAGAATTTAATGGACTGTGAATTTAAAAAAAAAAAGACTGTCAAATGAACTTTTACAGAATGCATTAAAAAAAAAAAACTCCTGTGTTGGTCAGAACAACTTGCTACTTATCATTTTTGTATAAAAAAAGGAAATTAGTCTTTTTTTTTGGTAAACTTTTAAAATATCGCTAAAAGTGCATTTAAGGAGATTTGGAGAAAATTAGCAGAATGGAGAAAGTAAGTCTTTTTTTTTCCAAATTATTAATTGTCCTGTGTCTATGTACCTATAGCTGTTCTTTTTTGTATTTTTCTGGTTCCAAACCAGTTTATTCTGTGGTTCTATAATAATTTTTGATATAATCTTGGCTTCTTAAAAACTATGTATCCTTAAAATATATGTTCTGCAAGAATTAAAACTGAGTCCATGAAAATATCATAGGAAGACATAAAACTTTAAAAGGCTACTTAATGATGGAAACGCACTTATAAGTGGTGACCAAATTTTAGTTGAAGCTGAGAGCTCTAATTACAGACCCAAAGGAACCACACACAACACTTAAACACCCTCTTCCCCCCCCCCAAAAAAATCCTTTCCCATAACAAACCTAGCTTTTTTTTTATATATTTTAAGAAAGAATGAACTGTGGAATTTATTGGCGGCCAAGGGATGTGTCCAAGACACTAGCTGAAGTTTTGAATAAAAAGTGAACTTTTGTAATTTGAATTGGGTCCCGCATAGATCTTGAATTGTTATGAGACTCCTATATCTGTTTGTATATTTGCAAACCCTTTGTATTATAATAATTGTTGATATTTTCCCTTTTTAAAAAAATACCATTGAAATCAGCATGACAAAATAACGCTGTTGGCACTTATAGGTAACGTGATTGATTCAGTATCTTAGAGTTTACAGTTTGTGTTAAAAAAACTGAAGGTTTTTTTTTAAGTGCAACATTTCTGTATACTGTAAAAGTTATAATAACTGAACTGTTTGGTCGAGTCTTTGTGTGTTATATTCCAAGGAAAATTGAAAGTATTCAGAAATTAAAATATTATTTGATATCTGAAACTCGTTTGGCTGTCACCACTGTCTTTGCATCCGAGAAAAGTCCACCTCACCTTTCTCAGAGTTTGTCCTAGGTGCTTGATTTGTTTACCTCTCACAGTAAGTTTGTTCAAACATAAAGTAGTGTATTTGCCTGTTTAATTTGGGGTTGGGAGGGTAAAGATGAAGTTCATGGTTTATCTCTGGTTTAGGAAGTGCTGGTCTGATATGGTAAACCACCCCTATTCACGTAATCCTCCTTTCAATTAAAAATGGATTTTCCAGAGAAGGCCCTTATATTTGTCACACTTAAGTGCCTGCATAGGAAAGGTATTGTTGTGAAAAGTATTAGGAATCTTGAGATCAGTATCTATTTTATGATCAGAAAAAAATCTTTTGTACATTTCTGACATTCACGCACAAGATCATTCAAGCAAACTAATAGCGGCATTGTAAATATAGGGCAGTTGTTTGCAATGAGTTTTCTTTAAGTGTGTGTGATTATAAAAATATTCTGTGGTTCTCATTTATTGTGGAGAGGACTTCAAATCGAGTGATTTAGCTTCTAGCATGAAGAGTCTTTTAAAAATGTATATATGATAGCATACAATGGGATTGCTTTAAAAAATTATACTGTGAGAGCATGACCATAGGTCATCAGCATATTTTACATTGCAGTTAAGTACATATAAACATTTGTACACTTCTGGTTATGTAGCTATAGTCTCTGCACTCAGAGTAGCTCTTGCCCTTAAAAGACAATTTTTTTTTTTGGAAAGAATAAGAAAGGAAGCTGAGTTGGAAGGAGTAACTATTTTGGTTTTATGCCTTTTTCTCTTTTTTCTTTTCTTTTTCTTTTTTTTTCTTTGGTTTTGGAGCAGATGCTTTGTGTGTGTGTGAAAGCTTGAAATTTTGTTCTTGTTTGAGGTTCCCCTCAACCATACTATACTATACTTTGTTGAAGAAAGGGAGGAAGGAAAGAAGGAAGAAAATTTTAAAGTTTATTAAATACTGATCTTTAGTTCTAGTAGATACATCTGTACCTGAAAATGATGTATGATTTGTGAATTCTGGCAGTTTTAATCGGACCCACTGCTTATTATTATTATTAGTAGTAGTAGTAGTATATTATTATTATTAAAGGATATTGCTGACCTTTTAGATCTAGGTTTTTTTCCCTATTGCAAATGGTATCCATGTGAGTGTGAAGTTTTTATAATACTAAAACAGCATATTTTCTTGTTTGTTTTGTGTTAGTTTTTTTTTGTAAACAGCCATTTGTTGTAAATTATCATTGGCATTAAATTATAATTTATGAATTTCAAAGCAAAGATATTCCCTGTTTTTTTACATTTTAAGCATGCATTATAAAGATCATATATGATATTTCTTCTATGCCTACACCTCCTCTAAGTTTCTGCAGTAAGCTTGGGTTCTGACAGGCTAACAGTGAAGAGAATATTCATATGGTTAAAACAAAACCCCTTGTATATGTTTAGATTGCCCAGAGGAGGATTTGTTTAGAGACTAGAGTTAGGTTTAAGTTTATTGCATTTAAAGAAAGTTTTTCTTTTCATGCTGTGTTAGAACAAAAGATCTTTGCAGCGACTGAATTGGACAAAAGAGGAGGGCTGGGACTGAAGAGCGCGTTCTATGTGAAATTGACGAGATCTTAAAAAAAAAAGCTGCTAAACATGGCGACTCTTTCCCTTTAAGTGTCTCTTTTTCCTTGCGGGTTTTTTTTTTTTTAATCTGATCTGAGCTCGCTCTATTTCTTTCCTCTCCCCCTACTCCCCCTCCCCTCTCTCTGTGCACGGGATGTGAGGGACACAGGCAGACGCAATCTGCAACAATAGTCCAAGGAAGGGAGAGATCGCAGCTTCTCGCTACTTTCAAACAAACCTGGGGGAAGATTTAAAAGGGAGAAAAAATTCTGGGTTGGTTGCTTGATGTGATTCCTTTCCAGCTTAGCGTTCCCTATTAGTTTTTCTTCCTGGGATAAGGGGTTGGATCTCAAAGTTAGAAACCAGTTTCAGGACTCACTTGAAAGGACTGATCTGTACTCTCCAGCCAGCTGCACAAGTGGGGGACTTGAATTCGCAGAGGGTCCTTGTAAACTGTCTGCTCCCCCTTTCCTCCATCCCCGCCCCCCACTTACGTGCAGCGGAATTCCGCCTGGGCCCGGGGAAAGTAAGGGGTGCTTGTTGCGTTGAGGTTCCACGCCTCGGCTCCGCGTTAAGTGGTAAAGGGGCGGGGGGTCGGAGTGGGGGTTGGGGCGTTCTGGGAGAGATCGAGCGTGTGAAACTATGCCTTTAAGCTTGCTTTTGACTTGGTCCTATTAGCTGAGCCAACATGGCGTCTCCCAATGCAACGCAAGAGCTGAGCTGCTAAGCAAAGGCAGCGCTTAGTAATAGAAAACACATTGGTTAGCGTGGGGGGGGGGCTAAAGGCCATTCCATCTGTAACCAGAAAACCGTCTTTAAAACTCTTAGCCTGCAAGTAAGTGCATGTCCTCGATTATTCTGTAATTAAATCAGCAGAATTCCTAGGAAAAACATTTGTAGCAAAGCACCCCCCTTTTTCCATGCTCACCATATAACGCCAACTTGAAATAATGCCTATTTCCCCCTCAGAACCAGATTTCTTTAAAAAGGCTGTATCAGAAAACGACCTTTCTCTTTGAATAGTATAGTGGAAAGAGAAAAGGGAGAGGAAGAAGGAAAGGGGGAGGAGAGAGAGGGAGAGAGAAGAAAGGATTATATGAAATGGGGAGGAGGGGAGAGACACAGAGACAGAGACAGAGAGACAGAATTTAGAGAGACCTCCCTCAGTTCTCATCCTTACTAATGAAATCCCTGGATTTGGTGTTTTCCAGTACTGTAGGTGGTAATGATTTGCATACCGGCCGTTTCGTGGGAAGGGCTGAATACTTGAATGTCAAAGTTACAGAATATGCTTTATTTCTGATCTAGTACTGATGATTGCCTGGATATGGATGTAGAGATAGGTTATGTTTTCAGTCAGTGGGTGCAGGCATCTGGGTAGATATGCAGGAATATGTAGAGGTTGTCAGCCTATAGATACATTGTTATCATTCAATTTGTTTAATCACTAAAAAGGTTTTTTTTAAGTATAGTCTTGCTGTGAATATTTAAGTTCTTCTTAAAAATGTCATCTGAGGTTTTTTTTTGGGGGGGGGGTGTTGGAGAGGGAGAAGAGGCAGAGGGACTTGATTAAGCCCAGCACCAATGCCCTCATCGGAAAGTGAGACTGCCCACTAAGTAAAGGGATTTTTTTTCCCCTACGTCGAACTCATTGCCCTATCCTACAAACCCCTCTCTCCTTCGGTTGCCTTCAGAGAGGAAAGATACTTCGGAATTCCAGGCCTTGTCAAGATTTATTGAAGTTAAGTTTAAAAAACGTGCTTCAGATGATTTTTCCCATTTTCTCAGATTTCAAAGGCTCCCCGCAGTGCGGCTGCCTAATTAATGGTGAAATTCAACTAAATCTAATTATGCAGTAATTTTAAAGCAGTTAGTCCTGGGCGTTGGTTTGTAATAGGACCCCAGTTTTTTAAAGTTTGCTTAATGTGTTGGTTTAGGGGAAAGCAGCCTTTTGTACCGCAAAGAAAGACAGGGAAATAGTTTTTCTGCATAAACCGAGGGAGAGAGGGCCTCCCCCTTCCCTATCTTTTTTTTTTTTTCGTGCTTAAGCTAAAAAGCGAGAGAGGTGCTAACCCAGCAAGGAGACTAGATTCTATAGCCAAAGGGGAAAGAGAAAATCTAGTTAATATGGAAACACAAAGGGGTCCATGGTATTCTCCCGCCTGGATGCATCTGTAAATACCCGAATGCTCAAGGATGGCTATCCTCTGCTGTCTAATAGAAAACAGATTTCTTCTCTATTGTCATTAAGGAGAAAAGCTGGCTCTTGGAGTTATAAATCTTACCGTCCTTCTGATAACACACTTGTAATAAGTTAGCGTGGTATTCAAAGTGAATTGTAAAACTGCCTCCTTTAATATGGCATCTGTGTCATTAAAACTTTATTTTTTTTTCTCTGTGTCTTGTAGGCCAGAAGGGCAGGCAAAAGGTTGAGGATTCTTGCTTGAAGACTGGGCCTCTGGGGGTAGAGGTAGGGAGTGGGAGATTGATAGATACACTCGTCAGGATCTTTTAATGTGGCGGAGATACCCTATCAACAAAGAAGGGGTATTGGTACCCCCTTCCAGTCTCCCTCACCCATGGTCACCTCGAAATGAAGCTTCTTAAAAGAAACATTCCTATGATTAGCTAAGCAAACACATCTGCTTTCCTAGTTGGGCCTTCGTTAATTAGCCAAACAAAGAGCCGTTTTGCTTTTTACCTTTTGCTGGAAAGAATATGTTTTTTCAGGAGTGTCTCTGGCCCTCCTCTTTTCAATTGCAGCCACGTTAATTTTATTGGGATTACTGATGGGAAATGAGGTGGCGCAGGCTTCCGAAAGGAAAGGCTTGATCATTACCCCCTCTGGAACCATATTTTTCCACCCCACCTCCTTCTCTGGGAGGGAGGTGGGAGTTGGGGAGGGGGGGGTGGAGAATAGCGGAGCAAGTTAGCAGCAATTTGAATCAAGCTCGCACTGGGCTGATTTTAGTTGACAGAGCGTGTGTTGAAGTTGAACTCTATAATTTGCACTCCTGTTCCTTTATTAGGGTTGGACAACGAACTAATGAGCTTTTCCCCAGCACAATGTCACTTGTATTTATTTTCTTATGGAAACTTTTAGATAGCGGAAGTTCTATTTAAAAGGGGGAGTGGGAGGGTGTTTACTGAAAGTATTCCCTACTTATTTCTTAAGACAGGTACCGGGGCTTATGTTCTCCTGGGAGTGTCTGGGGGAGAAAAAGAAAAGAGATGAAGTGAGAGAGGAAAGGCAAGAGACACAAGATTTAGTTTTGTGATAGGGTCATCTAGAATGAGTGAGAACCCAGGAAGGCCTTTAAGAAACAAGACAACCTGCAGACTCCTGTGAATTGGAAGAACGAGGCAACCCTCAAAGTCTAACTCCTAGTGAGAGAAGTGTAGGTGTCTTGGTGATAGCTGATTACAAGGACCCTAATCTGATCAGAGCCTAACTGAGAAGAGATAACTTGCTTGGTACCCAAAGGTGGCATTAAACCTAACAGGATCTAACTCGTGGGGTAGGGGGCAGAGGCCCCTTCCCTCTTCCGCCTCCCTTCCCACTCCGGCTTTGGTGGAATCACTAGTTCTGTGGGTCGTCGGGTAAAAGAATCCCCAGAAGGCAAACTCAGGCCTCTTCTTCCCTAATAAAGGAGAGCCCAGCAAAGGAGGCGAGGGCCTCCTGCATCGCGCTCCGGAGTGGGATGGGGATTGTGGGATCAAATAACTTATCCTATGCTTGCCAGGAGAAAGATAATGTGTGTCTGTGCGTCTATCCGTCTTGAAGTTCTCAATATTTTTATTCCCTTGCGAGGCGGGTGTGTGTGCTTTGAAGTGTCTCTGTCGAGGTGTTCTGGTAGGGAAAGGGGCTTCACTGCTCAAGTTGGATTCCGGCTTCATTTAGTTCTCTTTCCTCAAATTTGGCTGGTCCCCGGAGAACCCTCAGTTGGAAACTACTGAAATTTAGAATTAAAAGCGGAGGTGGGGTGGGGGGTGGGGGGTGGAGTTGGGGGCTGAGGTAGGAAGCTGCCTGATGAGACTATTGTCCCAGATCCCATGCGCCCTAACCCGCAGGGTGGATACAATACTTGGTCTCTGAAAGGAAAGGGAGACGCTTGAAAAGTGGGAGGAAATTGGAGGATTTAGGTTCGCTTTCCTTCTGCTCCCACTGCCAGTCAGCCTACCGCAACTTTCTAATAATGTCCACTCTTTGTTTCTTTCTCCGTATCTTCTTCTAGCTTTTTCTCTTTGCTTTCTGCCCGCCCACCCCACCCCCTTTTCCTTCCTTCCTGCAAATGGGTGTTAACGCGGGTCTTTATGTTCTGTCTATAACTAGGATGTAATCACGCGCCCCATGCCTCTCTCTAAAAGCATTTAATAAATGTCTATTAAAGCGCTACAAATGTAAGATAAATTTAGTGGCGCGGCTGCTTCCCTGTATCCAAACCGTAATGATAGATTTATCAACAGGGATTCGCCTTCAGCGCTGTGAGAGAGATTTACTCAACAAATATGTCGGAAAGCACCCACCCAAATATAATCATTTATAGCCAAACTGACTTCTTTCCAGCCTTACAGATTCTCAACTCTACTCGAAGGCTTTTGAATTCATATTGTGTCTTTCCTGTAAAATCACATACTCATGGATCCAAGAGATGTTCCCAGCTTCTCTCTCTCTCTCTCCCTCTCTCTCTCTCTCTCTCTCTCTCTCTCTCTCTCTCTCTCTCTCTCCCCCTCACTCTCATTATTTGGGGGAGGGGAGCAGGAGTTGAGACATTCACTAGTATAGGGCGATTATATTTTCCAGGTTAGAGTATTTACACCGCTGAAATGCTTCCTGGCTTGGCACTGTCTTAGGTGAGCCATGCGTGGCATATGTATATGTGTGTGTGTGTATATATATATATATATATATTATACACACATATGTATACATATATGTATACATATGTGTGTATGTATAAGAATATGTATACACACATACATATGTATATATAAATGTGTATATATACACTTTTTCATTTTGATTAATTCTTAGGAGGCTTTTGTTGTTGTTTGTTGCTTGATTTACTTGTTTAGTTGTAATATTTATCTAAAATCTGGGGAGTTTCTTAAGTGGGAGCTAAATGATCTAAGCTTTTCAACAACAATTTTTCATGATTTTGGAGGTTTCCAAATGTTTCAGTGAATACTGTCTAGCTAGGTTCCGGGTACCAATTTCTCTACAAACTTGGGCTAAACCTTGTAGCCAAATTTTAATCTTTAAATTGAAGCTTCCTCTGGCTTTTCTTCAGATTTCCAGAATGGTGGGACAGAAAAGCTTTAGAAAGGGAACGTCAGGCGTAGATTTGCCTTTGTCCCGGCTTTGGCAAATATACAAGGGTCTGGCTCTTGAATTAGCTTAGAATCTGGGACCTCACATACTCAGCTTATGATCTGGTCTACAGGTATCACCTGTCATCTACCCCACATTGTTTCTCCTGCTTAAACTTTGACTTGAAGAAAGCAGATGTTCTTAATGGAGTTTTCCAAGTGTTCCCTCTCTCAGATACCATTGTTCTATAACCTGGAATCCATTTCAAAAAGCTGCCTCTCAAACATGTGGGGTACCTCCCTCCCCATTTTTTCAAGATATTTGTCTTCGTTAAAGTCCTGAGTAACTATTTCAAAGTATGAATAATATATGGATTTTTTAAAAAAATGATATTTGCCTGGGATATAGGTGGTTCCCCCCACCCCATTTTCAAGTGAAAGGCTACTGGACTTTTAAGTAAAACCTAGCTGGCATTTTCTTTTGGCCCCTCGTTTTTCTTTCTTCTCTCGAATTTTCATTGAGATGTCTCTGTACTTTGCTTGTCAGTTATCTTTGTTCCTCTTAAATAAAGGGCTTTTAAATGGACTTATTGCTCCCAGCGTGGGCTCCTCTCTTTAAATGTTAGAAAATTGTGCCATCTACCCGCTATTCTAAGTACTGTCACACTCAGAGACCTCCAAAGACCTTCAGCCCCGACTTCAATCCTGCTGTGTCAAAGGGCGGGCTGCTGGTAAGAGGCAAAGGGGTGACGTGAGTTTTTACAGATTTCAGACTGGAATCACGCTCTGGAACGCAGAAGTAATACACAAGTTACGCTGGAGCGGCGCGTTTGATGATTGTCCCTTACTTGTCCAGAACACAGAATTCCTTAAAATCACTAATGAATTCTCAGGGCTTTTCGGCGCTCCTTTTCTAGGTATTACCAACTGCCGACTAAAGTCCTAGTGTCAATTCTAGACACTGACAAGTATGTGGGTTGACAATGGAGAGGGATCTTCCTGTCAAGAGAGAACCCCTAGTTTGTCGTGTTTGTTTTGTTTTGTTTTGCTTTTTAAATGACTAGCAGAATTTTCAGATTTCTCTGGGAAAGTTCAGGATCTGATGAACTGGTTAGTGGATGATAGTCAAATATTGGTTTTCTAGGGGGGAAAAAAACAGACGCACAGAGGAAAAAAAAAATTTGCCACCTTTCCTTATCCAGATATTTCTCTCCACTCTGGTGAGGAAGGAACAAATATACTTAGTTCAAATTTTAATATGTTAAATGTGTGAGACGAGAACCCTCTGAGGACCAGAAAGGGGAGCAGAAAAAATCCTGACTTCTTTCTGAATGACCTAATATGAATTAGCAGTTTAGATTTTATTGCGTGTCTGCACCTCTTCCCCACCCCCATTTGCAAAGATTTTCAAGTGTCAATTTATGCTTAGTGGAAGGGGGGAGAAGCAAGTTTATGGGTTTACAGTTTATGATTTTTATTACATGTTTCACACTATTCGAGAAATGGAGTTTTAAGCAACATACAATTAAATCTATATTGCTCTTTGGAAAAGTTCCAAGTAACTCAACAATCAATTAGTTTAGATCTTTCAATACTTGTTGCTAAAATCAGTGTAAAGCTATAATCCTAAACTGTATCACCTCTCCTCATTTTTTTTTTAAAGTTGTTACAGTAGGTACCATGTATCCAAAGGAAACAGACTGCTTTGTGTGTGTGACTCTGGTAACTTGTAATTCTTTCTACTTTAATCTTTATGATTTTTTTTCTTTTCTATATCAAATGAGATAATATCTGTAAATCACTTTGCAAATCTTAAAGCCCTGTATAATGCCAGCTATTTTCTTCTTTTTCTAGCTAACTATGACTTCCTTTACTGTGATTATTCTTCTGGTTTTTATTTATTCATTTAATTTCTGTTGTTTTATTTTTATTATGCTGCTCAGCATCTCTTTTCCATTTTTTTTTTTAGCTAGTCAGATATTAAGATGGAAAACTATTGTTTAATGACCATGATAGTAAAGTAGTTTTCAACAGGAAAAATCATGTATTTCATAATTACCACAGCCTTCTTTTTTTTTCTTTTTCTTTCTGCCTCTCTTTGACTTTCTCTCTGTCTTTCCCTCTGTCAGTCTCTTTCCTTCCTCTCCCTTCTTCTTTCCTCTGAGGAGTTTAGGAAATAATTTCTCTCAAGCAGAAATTGATCCCAAGTCAAAAATACCTTGTTTCCACTTTTCCTGGATATCTTTAAGCAAAATTTCTATGCTTTAGTCTGGACTTGGCCAAAGTTGAAGAGGTTGAGTACATTTAAAAATTCTAGGATCTAACAGAGCTTGTGGGGTCAGCACTGACAGTACTTTCCCTCACGCCACCAGTAGAGAGCCCTGCCTTATAGCCATTGGAGGAGGAAGCCCTGATGTGAATGTTCCAAAAAGCAAATTCCTAATTCATCAATATAACCCATTCTTCCCTTCAACGTATTTCTCCCTCAAACTAGAAGGGCGTTCTCAACTGAGGTCGATATAGATTCCCCACACACCAGGTTTTCCTTTCCTCCTACACCATCTAATCCCAGACAACAAGCTAGTGCCTCATTTCCAGCCACATTGCTAATTAAAAGCCCCATGGTTTTTGGAAATGAAGAGTATCAAGACATAAAATGTCATAGACTCCATGGGGCAGAGAAGGAAAAAAAGGAAGGAAGGAAGGAAAGAAAGAGAGGAAAAGGGGGAGGGAAAAGGAGGAAGGGAAGCAGGGAAGGAGACATAGGGATGATGGAGGAGGAGGAAGAGAGAGAGAGAGATTGAGAGATTGAGAGATTTTCTTTCTCAAGAAACTAGTTTTATTTCCAAAGTAGTTACAACTCACTGGACAGGAGAAAAGGGTCAATGCAAGGAAGAAAAGTTTTCCTAGACTTTATTGATTCTCATTGCATCAGTGAAACCTACAAAGAAAAATAATATTATGTACATCTATATGTTTCTTTAATTGTAATTAATGTCTGGAAAATTTTTTCTATTCACTAATTTTGTATTTCCCCTTTTCCCTCAAAACATTACAAAATAATTTTGCTCTGTCATTGTCACTAATATTGTGGTTTGCTGATGTCTTACTTTGAAACACAACCCCACTAGAAGTAGCATTAGCCTCTATCAACCAAACTACTTCAGGCAATCTTTTTCTCTGGCTCCATTTGTCTCTTCGATCCTTCTCCATATGTTTGATTTCCAGTTTCAATGAAAACATTAAAAAAAAAAATCAGAAAGGGCCAATCCCTTGCTTAGCCCAACTGCCTTTTCATGTCATACCCAGAACTCTGTCAAGTCAATCCCCTTTTCTTTATGTGGCATCAGAGGCTAATGTTCCTTCAATGGACATTTAAAGAAAATATGAAACCAATTCTATTTTCTCTCCTTCTTCTTGGAAGATATGATTTGTGAACATGCTTAGAATCATCAGTTTTTAAAAAATATTTTAAAAGGTCTTTCTCATATTTTTTTTCTTTTTTTCTTTTTGTCCTTGAACCTTTATCAAAAAAAAAAAAATCCTCGCTAAACAATACTCCCCGGAGATAAATTCAATTTATCACCATTTGTTGCCTAATCGAGGCCCAGTTATCCTGTGTATATTTTGTGACAGACTGGAGAAGGTGAGATTAAGATATTCATAATTTTCTATGTGCTGCCTCTCCTTTCCTGAATGCTCCAACTTGGAGGTACCTCCTACATTACAGCAAATGTAAACATTTCTACTCATTTGTTCTCAGGCCTCCAAGGCTTTCTTTAAATGTTGCCTTTAAAATTAGCTCCCTCTCCCCATATTTCTCCTTACTTATTTGTATTAGAAAGGGTGGGTTTCAGACCGATTATCTCATATCTTCTTTGCAAAAGTATGCTCTCTCTCTCCAGCCTTTGGGTCAGGCATTGATCTCTCTGAAATGTAACAAACGGGAGGGTTAATTTTCCCTCATTAGCATCTCCATAGCATGGGTTCCTCACACTGGATCTTGCCCCTTGCCTTTGCTTTAGCTCCCAAGCGTCTGTCTCCTCTTTCTCTCTGCCTGTCTCCTGGATTCTTTTTTCTCCATCTCCCAGTCTACCCTCCCTGCATACACATGGAATCTGCACATGTACACACGATCCCATCATGACATGAGACATTCCATTATTCCTATTGGGTCTCCATTTTCTCATCGATTATGGTCCACTATCTCTATCTCTCTCTTCTCTGCAAACTCTTTCATCTCATTCACTTTTTGTCTCTGTTTTCTCTCTGTCTTTTATCCATCTCTTGTTTTCCATCTCATTTGAAAATATGTTCTGCTGTCTATGAATTAGTTTACTTTTTCCTCCTTTTTGTACTTCGTTTACTTCTTAATCTTTTTTCTGAAATTTTCATTCAGTTGTAGGATAAGTAAAGGGGGTTAGTCAACACCAAGATGGCAAAGTTCAGCATGCAGCAACAACAAAAAAAACAAACAAAAACACAACAACAACAAAAACACCCTTCCAACTACCTACAAAAGGCTCAGTACTTTGTGATGGCAGAAAGAAACAAAAATGAAAAGCAAATTACATTTAAGGCTAAAATGTGAGAGTGCGTTTGTGTGTATGTATATCTGTGTGTATTTTTAAAGATTTCTTTGAACTGCTTTTGTGCTGAGTTGGCAGAGACGCTTGCCAATGCTAGTCACGGTTTTAGGAACTTTGAGTTAACCTCTTATATCAAATGAATCTTTTCATTTAGAGACCAATAAATCTCAATCTCTAGCTACCTTTTGTAGGACAGGCTCTGCTTACGAAGGCAAGACTGAAGCTTATAGTAAAGAAGAGATAAAGTTTGCCAAAGTTGTTTTTTTCCCCCACCCTTCTAGCATCCCACACCCTCCAGTAAATAAAAGGTTGGGGAGGTGGCAGCCCTTGAGAAGCTTGGGATCTCTGCATTGTTTCTAATAAGCCTAGTTATTGAAGTAAAATCTTCAAGGTTTCAGGCGCTAAAATGATTTATTGTTTTCCAACAAGTCATTATTTTGTCGAGTTGATGAGGTGAGGCTGGGACAATCTAGTCACCAATGTGGGGCTTTATCAAGGGAGTGAGGAGGATGAGGAGACTAAGAGGAGACTTAGCACTATAAACATGAAAGATCATAGTGTCTGGAGGACTGAATTTGGGGGAAAGCCCTCACATGCTTGTGTTTAGTCAATAAAGACATATGTGTTAACAATGACAAGAAAAGAAATGTACTCTGGGCCTTGTCTGAAAGTAGGCAGGGTCACTTTTAAAAAATGTTTTAACTGCACTGTTAATTTTGATGGATTTCTTGAACATTTGAAATTCAACCTTTACCCACTCTTTTCAAGGGAGTCTGATTACCAAATTAATTTTCTGATTTATTACCTCTTTTCACACTTTTAACTTATTTCCTGATACCCTTTCATTGAGTCTAAACTCCCTTCCTTTCTGTCCCCCCACCATATTTTTATGTTTTTACTACCTGGACACATGGCTTAATTTCTTCCGGCTCTTACTGGTGATTCATTTACTCCCTTTATCTTTCCTCCTGTTAAAAAAAAAAAAAAAAAAAAAAAAAAAAAAAAAAAAAGAGCTATTCGCTGGTCTCTATGTAGTTCCTGTTTGAAAGTTATTAATTACTGCTACAAGGCAGGAGATTCTTAACTAATAACAAAGTTGTAAATTACCAGCTTTTTTCAAATATTCCTCTTGTCAATTCTGATTGATTTGATTAATATGCCACTCTATGAAATAATTTCAACTGCACTTTATAATCAGCCATAACCTATGCTGCAAAGTATATAGCAATGCTCCTTGAGAGACACGGTTCTCCTCTCCAGAGTATTCCAGCTGAACTGTATTTTTGTCTCCCAGAGTTCAAATCTGAAGCAAGACTGAGAGAACATGACAGCAGTAAGGCTTCGAGAATGGAGTGGGGAAAGAAATAATTAAGCCAGAAATGGAGTTGGCCTTTTGTGGGGATGGTGAAGATGATGATGATGATGATGATTATAAACTTTCTTGAGTTTCCTCTGTTGGACGGAAGAAAGTGGACCTCACTTTCCTCTCAGCATCCGGAACCTTACATAAAGAGTATTTTCAGGAACAAAAAGAATTCTCCAATCCCTTAAACTTGAATAAACCGAGTCACATTTCTCCTTTTCCTCTATGTGATTGAGAGTCATCATTTCTAAGAAATAACCTGCAGGCTTCCTGCTCAGGTCACTCAGCAATTGGTGTGAAAGCCAGAGGGAAAAGGTGGTGTATGAGAATGGGGAAAGAAGGGTACTGGAAAAGGAAGGGGGTGGAGTATAGAACCAGGGCCGTGGGACCCATAGGGGGAGTGGATAAAATATCTTAAAGGGTCCTCTTTACATTCCATCCTGATATCCAGAATTCAAGTCTTGAAGCCATCAATACCCACTGCTTCCAATACCTCTTGAGTTTTAATCTTAATTATATTATTAAGTGAAGTACTGCGCTGTCAAAGAATTGAACATGATTTATGATGTCTGCCTATTAAACAATCGATTGTGAATATCGCTACTATCATCTATCAATATTCACAGTCCGAGGGTATTTCTCGCTGCAGACGAGTGTTACTTGTAATGAAGAAATGATAGAGTACAGGAAGGGAATATTTATTCTCCATAGAACAGACTTCCAGGTGCTTCGGGAAACGAATCCGGGGGTCCCGGCACACCCAGCGAGTACTTGTGATAGTCCAGCCCTACGGGTGTAGTTTAGATCACACAAGTGATAGGACCAACAGATTGTCTGGCGGGGGCGGGAGGGGGGTGGAGAGGAGGCACACCAGCTTTTAGGAGAAAGCTCTAAGTTACCTTTTCAGGTCGACAGCAGAAAGGATGGCAGTAGCGACACTTTTCTGCGTGCCAGGTGATCTGCAATATGCCTGAAATGAAAAGAAAAATAACATCGAGGGTCGTCCTTTGTAGTTTGGGCACAACAAACCAGATGGTAAGGTGACGGCGGAATTAGACTTTATACTTTTGGAGCAGTTATGCAGGCCACGCCTTTGTACTTAGGCTCTGATGGTCCATTTCTGGAATAAAGTTCTCCATCACATCCTGGCCCCTGAAAGTGGATCTTTAACCTGCTTCTGCCTTCACTGGGTACGGTGGACTTGGATGCTAGCTGCTCTGCGTTTAGGCCTGCACGAGAGTGTATTTGTGCGCGTGAAACCTTTTGTCCGTGCTTTTGGAGAGCCTGCTTTTTTCAGACATAACCGGGAACAGTTTAGGGTCACTAATGATTGCCAGCATGCATAGTATAAAGGGTATGGGGGTGGAGGCGTGGGGGCGCGAGCAGGACCTGAGCTCAGAGACAAAATCTCTCCTCACCTAGCACGAGTGCCTTGTAGCTGTAATATCGGAATTCCATCCCCGCCCTCCCCCACTCCCAACCACCACCACATCGCCATTCCTTTCCTCCCAGCAAAACCAAGCTGAAAAATTGAAGCCGCTAACACCCCACCCCCGCCACCCCCACCCAAGAGTTCTTGCTTTCTTCCTGGAGATCGCGGCGGAACGGGAAGGATTGGAGCAGCAGCAGTGAATCTAGCCTGACTAGGCTGCTTCTGCCCTAAGTCGAAGCTAGCCGTTAGGTGAATTAACAGCTGGTCTTGGGTTGGAGGAAATCGGCACAAATCTCCCACATTTAGTCCCTTCCCCTCTTGCTCCAGTCACTCTGGTCTCTTCTCCTCTCCTCCCTTCCCCTCCCCTCTCTTCCAGTCCACCTCCCCCGCCTTTCTCCCAATAGAACTGACCAGTCAGTCCTAGTGAAATCAGCCACTCTCCTCCCCCTCTCCTGCATAATCAAGATGCCATAAGGACCAGAGCATTGTGATCCCAGCCCTGGTGCACTGACAATTAGGCGGAGGCAACCGGAGCCCACACGGCGAGAACTGGCTCCTCAGCTGCCATTTGAACTCTGACGTCAGGCAGTATTTTGAGGGCCCAGAGCCCCCTCGGCGACGTTTAGGACAGATTTTTTTATATCTGATGGAGAGAAAGAGAGTTGAATGAAACCCCTTCCCCTCGCTCTGGCGTCGGGATTCTCCAGGAAGAGGAACTCAGACCCAGCCAGACTGGCGAAACAGTTGGTCTGGAGGTTCTCGGGACATTTCACCGTAGCTGATCGCGGCCTCAATGACAGATACTTCTTTTTCCTTGGAGCTCTGGATATTTCTAGTTCAGCAAAGCTGACCCCTGCTCCACTCCCATACTTGCCACAGTCACTTTACTGATTCAACCCCCTCCCCCCCAGAAAAAATTGCTGCCCGCTTCCTTCTCTTCCCCACCCCTATCCCCATCCCAAGCACAAGAAAGCGTAGGAGTGTAGATATGTATTTGCCTTTATGACCTACTCTCCCTCTCAGGTTCTGGCCAGGCCTTCTCTCCTAACTCCCTAACTCACCCTTCACGCACATTGGGGCACGCATGTGGAGTGGATCTCTTAATCTGGGACACTTTGGGACAGTTTCTGCTTGTGTTTGGAAGACAGAGGTGGACAGGAGGATGGCAGGGTAGACTTTCTTGGTAAGGAAAGTCTTGCTGCAGCCAAAGCAATAGAAGACAAAGCTGGTGGGAAGATAAGAATGGATGCGTTCTCCGCATCCTTTGCCTAAGGTTCTGGAGGACGAGGTGGAACATTTTGTCTGTCCCCTCCCTCCTTTCCCCGCGGATCTTGAGTCTAAGGCGCAGAGTATAGGGAAAAAGTGACCACTGAAGACTATAGAGATCTGCACTACTCAAGTTCTTAGGAAAGGTGAGACAGGCCAAAAAACAGAGAAGAATAGCAGAAAATGAATAGGCCAGAGTTTCGTTCCAGAGCCATCTACAGCTTCAAACCAACATTTAGAAGGGAAGGCATATGAGCTCAGTGGCAGCCTGAATGCCCATCCCACCCACCTAGCTTTGTCACCATTTACTGGGCAAGTTTGAAAACGGCCCATACCGACCCACACCCACTCTTCTCCGAGTCTCTTCATCTGTCTCTCACTTACAGGTCTATGTCTCCAGTTTATAAATCCAACACTCTGATTTTGCTGCCTGCAGCATCCTTTTAGTTTTTTTTTTTTTTTTACTTTTCTCTGTGTCTGTATGTGTGTCTCTGTCTCTATCTCTGTGTCTGTCTGTCTGTCTGTCTGTCTGTCTCTCTCTCTCTCTCTCTCACACACACACACACACACACACACACACACACACACACACGCACGCACAGATTTTATTCACAGTCTAATTCGTCACAGCCTATCCTAGAGTCCTATTGCCCCAACCTCAACTTAAGTCCTTATTTCCCATGAACCCAGGTCCGGACCAACTGGATCAGTGTATCACCGAGGACAAGCCACTCATTACACTAAGAGATGCAACAAAAACAAACAGAAGGATCTGGGAAAAGAGAATTGAAAACCATATGAATCCAAAGTTACTTCTGCAGTGGCATTCCCGGGAGGATGGAAACCAGTTATAAGAGCACATTAAATAAGTGTTAATAAAGTTTCCCTTGAATAAATGTTGGCAGTTAGTTTCATGGAAGACCAATGTGGTTAAATAAAGATATACCTGCAGTGAAATAATTTAATACTTTAAAAGAAATCATTTATCATCAGTGAGAATGTGTACTGTGTAAGTAAAGAGTGAGGGAGGTAGAAAGGGTTTCAAATACCTGAATCAGCGTACTCAAAATGAAATACATTTTTCTTCTAGTGATTTATTCTTTGGTTAACCATCTGAATCATCTGTGTTAAGGATGAATTATCTACAATAATGTCATCAAATAAACTTAAAACTTCTATATAATTGGATTTCAATAATTACTGGTTTATGACTTAAATCTTCCTTTCTTCTTTCCTCCCTTCCTCCCTCCCTCCCTTCTTCTCTCTTTGTATCTCTTTCTTTCTCTTCCTCTTTCTTCCTTTCTTTCTTTCCTCCTTCTTTTCTTCGTTTAGATCCCTTTGGACTAGTCCCTGAAGCAGCTGTCTTAAATATTCCCGGAATGGCAGTAACCTGATGCACTGTCTCTCTTGCCTTGCCCCCCCCCCCTTTTCTCCACCCTCATATTCATGACATATATTCTTGGGTTTGGTCTCCTTTTAAAAATGACAAATGTCTTGTCAAATGTAGAAAATCTATTCCATCTGGGTGTCTAACAATCTTTCATTGAAAAGGGACAGAGGCAAAGCCATGGCCGCGTGTCATGCAGCCTATATTTGTAACGTAATAGCCCAAACCTTGGACTAATTTACAGCTAATAGGTCTATAGCAAAGAGTCCAAGAGGAAATCAGCTGCAGAAAGAGCGCTAGATTGGCTCTTAAAGGAATCGGAAATAGGTGAATTGTAACTGAGTTCTCTCTCTCTCTCTCTCTCTCTCTCTCTCTGTCTCACACACACACACACACACACACACACACACACACACACACACACACACACACACAGTTATTGTATCTCTTCCGGGTGTCTATCTTACTCTGGGCAAAAATGAGAGGGGCTTTTCCCTTCTTCATCCTCCCCCCCTATCCCGCTCTTAATGACACCCCTTCTCCCCGCCCCATCGCAGGACGCTAAAACCCTCCGCTCTCCTTAGCCCTAGGCCCTCTCACTCCCTCCTTTCTTCTTCGACCAGAGCTGAGCCCGTGGCGCTCTTCCTGTGCTGTTCTGTCCCTTTGGCCTCCCCCAACACGACTACGCCAACTCCCCCTTTCCCACTCCAGGGCTCGGGGTCTCTGGCTCGGCAGAGCCACCGGCAGGAGGCGCTGGCGCCCGAGGAAGCCCCCGGGGTCTTCCCAGCCTGGGACGCCGGGCCCTCCCCTTAACAATGCCCGGCTCTACAGACACACAGAGAGAGGGGAGTTTGATCTTGCCTCATTGGTGTCTCAGGCCTGAAAGGGAAATCATTTGGGTAAACAGCCAAGCTTCCAGGCTTAACGCCTGGCTCCCTCCCTACTCCCCCCTTGCACGTCCCCCCCCCGCCTCCCTTACCCCCCCTTCAACCCCTACATCCACCCACACTTTGCTCCGGAGCCTCTTCCAGAGAAAGCTCCACGCTTTGATTCGGGAGCTGAGTGCTCCCCAGGTTAAAAGTGCTGCAGACCTGAATGTCCCATAACTATGCCCCGGGAGGCAGAAGCGGACTGGAGGGCAGTAGGAACGGCCTGGGCCACGGTAGGAACCGCAAACCTCCCACTTTTCTAAAATAGGTCCCAACTCGGGGAAGGGGCCCGGGGTGCCTTCGGAGAACAAGGTTCAGGAAGTTTATCGAGCATTTGGAATGGGCTGAGGTGTTCACCCAGCGTTCCAAAACCAGGGGGGCGCTGCATAGCTTCTACCTCCCTACCACTGAACACACTTGGATGGCAATAGAATATATAAACATATATATATACATAAATACATACATCCGTATGCATCGAGCTACACACAGTACAACTAAGTACATATATATGTGTATGTATCGTGTATGTATATCTACTTCCATCATCATTCAACCCCCTCTGAGTTGCTTCCACTGTAAGAAAAGCCCTTAATCTGATATTAATCAAGCGTTTTCCGAAGTTTGATTCTTTCTAAAGGAGAGTTCTTCAGTTAACTGACTGTAAACATAATTAATAGTTATTAACATGCAAAACCTTTGCGGTGTTTAAAAGGATAATGGTCTTTTTCTCTAGTCCTCTCCCTGTCTGCCTCTGTTTCTCTCTAGCGTGAAGAAAGCCTGGAAATCTGAAAATGCCCTGATTAGATTATTAGTCCTGATTATACGGTGGTTTTTTTTCTTTATAAAATTAAACTGCCGCCCCCCCACCCCCTCTCTCTCCCCCCCCCCCCCTCTCTCTCTCTCTCATCCAGGAGTCATTAGTAACCCCCTCTGGCTACATGTTTTGCATCAGTGAAACATTATGACATAGTTGTAATACAAACTCCGCTCCTTGCTTTGCATCTTGCGGTAGAAAGTGTAATAGCAATAAAATAAATTTTCATCTTCAGGCATTATTGGGTGAAAAAAATCAGAAAATCTGATGTTAGAAAGAGTGGCGAGAAAGAGAAATTAAGATGAGTTAAAAAAAAACAAACTTCTTTTCCAGTTTAGGAGACTGACCTTCCCAAACTAATCTGAGTGTGCTAATTCATATCCCCAATTTCCTAACTTGGTTTTCTATCTCTTTGTCTCTGGGATTTTCTTGGTGCTGTCCATCATTAGGCCACACGGCCCTCTTTCTGGAATTGTATAATAGAATAGGAAGAATAACCAAGACTTTCTCATGCCACATTACAATCCTAGAGACTAGAAATCTTAGAGTCTTC